TGGTTAGGTGTAGGGTTAAGGACATGGGTTAGGTGGTTGTGGTTAGGGGTAGGGATATGTTTAGAGTCGGGGTTAGGGGTTAGGTTTTGTTACATGGTTTGCAGTTTAGAGGTAGGGGTGAACTTTAGGCCTTGGAGTTTAGGTTTAGGGGTTGGGATTAGCTTCATGGTTAGCATTAGGGTTGGGGATTATGGTTAGGTTTTGGGATTAGGGTTTATAGTTAATGTCTTTATGATTAGGTTTCTGTTTTGGGTTTAAAGTCACACTGTAAATATTTGGGTTACAGTGTTAAATTTAGGGCGTTAGTTTTAATGTTTCGTTTTATAGTTCGGAGGTGGAGATTTGATTTGGGTGTTAAAATTAGCATTAAATTTTAGAGTTTGTTTTAGGAGTTGAATTTAGGATTAGGATTTAGTGCCTTACATCTTAGATTTAGTGTCATTGTTAGAGTTTATTGTTTGGGTTAGGGCTAAAGTCAGCTTTTGGGTTGTGACTTAGAGGGTTTTTTTAATAGATCATAGAAATTAATAAGATATGTAGTGGACATGGTATCTGTATGTATGGACTATTTGCCCTTGTTCTACATGCTGTTTTTAGAGGGCAGTGGGATTTGGAAACTGGGTGAGTTGATGCATATAGCAACAGGTGTTTTGCCTATCACAAGCAAGATTTTGTCAGCAGAATTGGCCCAGGCACCACATGCAGCTAGAATACAAGATGGTTTAGTACAAGTGTGAGCTGTCTAGACCCCTTGATAGGGATTTGAGAAGCCAGTCAGGCATGCAAGTGATACAAATCCAGGAGGAATTACTGCTGCTTTGGAAGACAGGCTCATGGAGCAGGCATGCTTTCCTGACTGAATGAAAGAACCATTGGTGTCACTCGAGAGATTCATGGAAAGCAGTTCATGCAGCCAGAAATAGTCAGATGCACAAGTAGAAGAGTGGCAGAGATGTCAAGGAATGTATCAGAAGCTGCAAGATATGATGACTAACAGTAAAAGTGTGCTGCTCCTTGTGGGAGCAGCAGATGCCAGTCACGCCAACCATCACTCGTAAGTGAATCCCAAATCATATCAGCCAGGCTTTACTCTGATGTCCATAGCATGTGTTAAACTAGTAGAGAAAAGAACTAACAAAAAAAAGTAAAAATGCATACAGACGTTTTTTGAGAAGCACAACAGGGACAATGACCAGTTTGATAAAAAAGGAAGAGAGTCAGCAGTGTTTAATCCAGGAAAATAGGCCAAATGGGGTTGTCATTGCCTTTTAAAGGTGGATAAAGGTATATTTTGCAGTTTGGACAGTGAATCAGTAGCCATGAGGCATGGAACAAGCCCTGATCCGGTGCATTTTTCCTAGAACTAGTTAAGAATAGATTTTGTGTTTTTAATATAGCTATGCTTTAGTATGGAAATGAAAAAGAAATTAAAGAAATCAAATAAACCCAATTGTTAAGTGACTTAATAATCACCTTTAACATTCCAGATGAGTTCACAGCTCACTAACCAGAGCTGATGCTACAAATTCTCATTTGGTGCAAGAGAAGCAAAGTTGATGGACTGTGTGATGCCAGGACTCAAGGCTGATGATGTGTCTGTGTTTAATCACTGGATTTCAAGTTGGAAGAAGGGAGCTGACAGAGCAGAAGACTTGGTGCTGTAATTCATCTCAGCATTTAAACTGAGTGGCAGGATCTCTGATGAAGCAGCAGAGGGAACGGGGATGCAGCTCTAGCGGCTGGAGTGCAGAGAGGAGTGGCCTGGCCAGAAGAGCAGGGTGTGCAGGTCTGGTTACAGGGTGTACACCAAGAGATGGTAAGCATTGCCATTCATATAATATAGCTCAGTGCCCAGAGATGCAATGGCAAAGCCCAAGCCCCTGTCAGTCCTTTAGGTGTCTGCACTCAACATTTCTGTGAAGGTTTCTTAGAACTGAGAGCTCTAAAACTGTTTTTGCCACAGTTTTCCCAAGAAAATGCTTCTGTTCTGCTCTGAGCCAGCAAAAAGCAGCAAAATCCAGCTTCCCAGAGTACAGACAAAGGGAACAGAGCTCTTCTGACAAAGAAACAGGACTGGTGTACGCTGGCAATGAGAAGGGAAACATTTGTGGTAATCTTTGGAGGCCTTTGAAGAAAACGCTGTTCTCCTGTCAACAGAACAACTGGAGATTGTTCACAGAGACTCTCTTGTGAACAGTGTGTTGTAAAGTCATTAAAGGGGTAGCATAAATTTATTACAGAACCAGAAATTGGAGTGACTAGGGCCAAATAGCAGAACAAGAACAAAATGCCCACTCGGCACATCAGGACAAGCAAGAGGGTCCACTGAAAGGAGGGATATCTCAAGTTGAGGCACTCCCAGTGACAGCTTCCAGCACCCACTTGCCTTTTTCTCACTCCCCATTGAATGCCTCAGCCTAGAACTCAGCAAGGTTTGGGGCATGGGAGCCTCACCCTCATCTCTCTCTCATGGCAGCAAGTCTCCAGACATGGGGAATGCAGCCAGTCACTGACCAGGCTCTTCAGAGGCATGTAGAAAAGGCAGCTCCTCACTCAGTGCTTTAAATCTCAGCACTCCTTCCTCCAAGTCGATGCAACACTAAAGAAGGAGAGAGACGGTAATTTTCTGGACATTTCAGATAGCAAATCTCATTATATCTATGACTGGGGAGAACCTGTAACACCTCTCTGGGTTAGTGGAGACCTTACAGTTTTCCTTCCCTGTCCCACGTTCTACCTCCTTGCTCCAGCTCCCTGTAGTGGGGTTCATCTCCAATCCCTTCACAGGGCCATTTCCCTCCCTGCTTCCTATAACCCTCTCTGAGTTGATGTCCTCACATCCCTCAGCCATTCAACCCATTGTTTTTCCTGTTTTATGAGCCTGGCACGTGGCCACAAGTGTGTGACAGGCAGGAGCCAGCTTGCTGCAGCCATACCCTGAGCCACCCAGGAGCCAGGCTCAGCAGAGCACTGACCCTGAGCCAAGCTGACAAAAGGACTCTTCCCACTCATGGCCAGCAAGTGTTGGACACTGAATGTGATCACACAGCTGCACTTGGCTCAAAGCAAGGGCACAGCTTGTTCTCATCTGCCTTCCAAGGGCAGCACAGGTCTAATTCGTGCCTTTTCTTGTCTCCTCTTCAGTTTCCTCTTGCTGCTTGCACGTTGTATAGTCAGGAATACGGAAAATGGGAGATGTGATAGTATCCTACTGAGTGTTATCTTTCTTTAAGAAAGATTGGAAAGGAGTCAGTGACTCAGAGCATACTGCTCCCAGTCAGGCAGCTGTGTGGCAAGCATTGCCCTGAGAGACCTGGACATTAAGTAATTTTGATGCTTACAACAACCAGATCTTGGGGAGTTTCCTGAGAGGAGCTCTGCAATAAGCAAGGAGCTGTTCCTTACCTTAAGAGACAACAGAGTCTGGAGGCCAATGCAAAACTCCAGCATTTCATCATCTGAGAAGAGAGAAGAGACTGATCAGGCTTTAGGTTATGTAATACTGCCTTGTTAAAGAAAGTGTGTCTCTCCTGTAAAAGGATATGAAATACAAGAACATCTGATTCATGAATTTTCATGAATCAATATAAAACAGATAAAAAATAACAAGGAAAAGGATAAGTTAAACACACCAACATTAACAAGCAGGTGGTAGCAGTGACAATAACAAATCTCTCTCTTCTGTCACTCACTGATGAGCCTTTAAAGGAGCTATTTAAGCATAGTCCTGTAGATGGTCAAAATGAAATTTGCAGCTGATAAGAGAAGGAAACCATGATTATCATGACTACTGTGAGATAAATTTGAAGGTGTTTGTGTGAATGTTTGAAACTTTATATGAGATAACAGAAGGGGCTTGTGAAATCCTATGAAACTTACTGTGGGCTGTGTAAGGGAAGGACAAAAGGCAGAAGGCAAGCAGCAGGGTGAATCAGGGGAGAACAAGCATGGGGAAATGGAAAGGAGAGAGGATAAGGGTCACATGCAAGCAGGCTCTTGGTTCAGTTTTCTGACCAAAGCCTGCACTTAATGGCTGCAATCCATCCAATCTTATTAAATAATTTTTATTAAGGTTTTTTTTTTTTCAAGTTACATTTTACAAATGTGATTTGTCTGTCCTACTCATAACTGCTGCAAGTCTTCAGTGTCAGCAAACATAGAAGATGCCAGGGGTTAAAGTGGTAGCTAAGGGGAATTCCCAGGTCCTGGAGTCTGCAGTAATCAGCAGCCACTTGTAATTTCATTAGCACTTCACACATCTCCTGGAGGACTGCTTGCCCTTTAACCAGTGGCTGTAATTTATAATTTATTTCTAACCACATAAGTGAGAGCACAGGGAGATGTAAGATACAGATGTGGCAATTCTGCTTCTTCCAGGCAGCCATTTCCATGTTCCAACAAAATGGGTAGTAGGTAGCTGCTCTGGGGTAAATTCACCTGTTATGGTGCTGATACAGATTCCCCATGAAGGGCAAGAACAAGCAGAGTGGAAACCAGGAAAGAAGAGCAAGCTGGAGTGTGTAAGAGGAGGAAGCTTTTTATGGATACCTTAGGAATGTGGGAAGAATGTACATGAAAAGAGGGAGCAAGGGAAGCCTTGGAAGATGAACAGGATTCACTGAAGATGGGGAAACAGATTAAAGCAAGAAGGTAAAGCTGGAAGACTAATAGGGAGAAAGATCAGGGGGGAAAGATGACAATCACGTTGTTTTCAGAATATGCATAGCTTGAGGAAAAAGCTAACATGCACCCTTTCTGCTGTTTCTGGGCCTGCCTCAGTGCCCCTGGCCTGACCTTGTCTCCTATGGCTCCTTCCTTCACAGGGTCCTGATTCAGGACACTGAAGGAGACAGCTCTCTGGGGCTTCCAGGTTCTTTCAGGGTGCTCCTGCAGCAGAGGCACAGGAGCACACAGAGAAGCACTCTAGGAAATAAGCTGTACCCTCTGTTACTTTCTCTGATGACTTCCAGACAGCCAGAGATACAAATGCCCATTCCATAGGAGAATTTAAGGCACCAGAGGATTAATCAAGCCATCTGCAGAATTTTATGAAAGGTCCATTTTAGAATTGAAATGAGAATTTTGCACATCCTTAGTTAAGACTGAAAAAGGACCTATTTTCTCCCCACTTTCAATGTCTCCTCTGTACTCTTCCTATGCCCTTTGCCTTTGGTTACATTCAGGGTATTCACTTGTATGGTGATGTTGGCCTGCAGTGGAGGTGGCCACATCACCAACCTTCCACCATGTTATGCTTTTTCCAAAGGTCCTTTAAATGCCCTTGGCAGGACAAGAGGGACACAGGAGAAACAAGGGAGAGGAGGGACTGGCACTCTCACCTACAACCAGCGCTGAGCACAGCACTGTCTCCTGGCCAAATTGCAACTCCAAATGTTCTACTCGGCCAACAACGCTGGGGATGGGAGGAGAGAGGTCTCCACAGTCCATGGCAGACACTTCTTCCAGCCTGTGGGACACAAGAGGTGTTATTGCCTCAAGCAGAGGAAGAGGGGGAAAACCAGGACTTCTCACTGATGGCAGTTCTGGGTTTCACAGGAACAGGCCCACAAGAGGGGGAATCTCTTTCATACCATATGCCTGGAGGCAGATTCAACCAGCAAAATCTCAGCACCAGTCACCAGCTGGGCAGCTTTGCCTTGCAGCACATGCAGGCAGAATTGCACAGCTCTGCCTCAGAGCCTGGGGTCTACACACACCTTTGCCAGTGCTCTAATGCCTTTCCCTGTAGCCCACCCTCTGCATCTTCTCCTCAACAGCCATGCCAGTCATTATCCCTGGGGATGGGAATCCAGAGTGCCTGGGTTCTTGCCATGGTGTTTCCTTTAGCCATCCCTCCTTTTATACTGTACAAAGACTTACCCCAGCTGGTTTAAACACCTCTTGGAGATGAGGTTTGGTAGACACCCAGTGTTAACAGTTGCTTTCAATACCTGACCTTGGCACTAGAAAAAACAACAACAGATAATTACTGTAGGCTCAAAATTGGCATATTCACTCCTCCAACAGTGTGAACTGGATTTTCTGAGCAACACAGCCAAGTTGTGGTGTTGTGCCAAGTAGTCAGAAGGCAAGAGTTTCATCCAAGACAATGGTGGTTTCCCCAGTGCTCTGCAAATTGCTCTCAAACACTTCTTTTTGAATTTGTTTTCCTTCATTTGTATTTGATTGTATCTTAGTGTGACTTTAACTTAACAGTGTTCCAGTCAGGAGATGCATAGTTAGAGAAATTGTTCATAAAACCAACACAGCAGAGCAGTGTAAGTAATATGCAAAAGTTTCTGAAGGAATACAAGCATGTGCTAGTTTTTCTGGGTTTCATCTCTCCATTTCTTCTGGTATTGCAGGGAACAATGTCCCAGAGCTAAACGTTTTTTCTTAGTAGAAAAGCTGCCAGAGGGACAAGTCTGAAGGAGAAGCAGGAGCACCCAGGACAAACACACCTGAAATGAGCTTGAATTTAAGGCAGTTCCCAAGATAACTGGCAAATCCATGTGACTCCTGAAACCAAGACACAACTTAATCAAGAGATTACTATTTTGTGTAGGGCTTACATCATATTCCTGTATAGCTCTTTAAGTTTATAAGACATGATATTACAATAGTCACAACTGGTGTCATTTGACAAAGGGGCCTGCACCCTGCCCTGCACCCAAGTAACCTGTGCATGATTTTACTGGAATAGTTCCCAGTGCTTTGCTCATTTGATTTCTTTACCCCTTTGGACATGAAAGGGAAAAGAAGATAAGGTTGCCATCTGTTTTCTGTCCCCTCTGCAGAGAGGTCCTTGGTGGCAGGCCTGAGGTGATGAAGTAACAGCAGGTCACATTTATTTTAGGGGTCTGAAAACACAGGGTCATCAAGAATATCAATAAGAATTAGGTTGAGGGGAAAAAAAAAAAAAGAAGGCACAGGATTTAGTAAAGGAACTGGAAAAGATGGAGTAACTGTCATCTACAAAATGCATTTTTACCTATGGTGCCTGATCATACCTATGGCCTACTTCTTTTCCTTTTCAGGGTTCATTGTACTCCTACTATCATTTGTGTTTTTCCTGTGATTCCTTCTCTTCCATCCACTATGGCACCCTGTGACATGAACCACTCAGAAGATGCAGCAACAGACCTGCCACTTCTTCTCTACTCTTTTGCTCAGTCCCAACAAGTTTAAATGCTTGAACACCTTAAGCAGACCAGCATGCCTATGAGGGACTCTGTGCAGCACCAGCAGGGTCAAGGAAAATGTCTCAATTTGCTGATTTCTTATCTAAGCCTGTGTATGATTATTAATCATCACCGAGAGCTGAATCCAATATTTCCAAGATTTCATTTTCCAAAATGTGCTATCTGTGAGTAGTTATAAAGAGAAAGAAGAAAACAACTCCTGTGAGAAATACTGGAATGCTGCAAACAGACAATACCAACAGGGTCCCTTTCAGCCCAAACCATTCTGTGATTCTATGGCAAATCTCCCTTCTGATTTTAGAGCTCTGCAATATCGTTGCTGCCTGGTCCTCCCTAACACATCAGCCCTGCCTGTAAAGGCTGTGGCCAGACTAAGCAGAGAGGCAAGATAATGCACAGAGTGCAGGTGCATGCCAAACATCTGCCTCCATATCCTCTCTACTCAGAAACAAGACCTGGAGCATGGATAGCAATTGCTGAGGAATCACTTGGGAGCAGCAGACTTGAGATGCATGAGCTGCTCCTGTTATAATAAGCCTAAGCTGTATCACTAGGCAGATTACTGAGTTTTGCTTCAGAGCAGGCTGGGAAATCTGAGAGTTAGAGACTTGACAGGATATAATAGGACAGTGATTATTCTGTAGAAAACAACATTTAATCTCATTGAGTGTAAACAGCTCTTCACCACTAACCATTTCCCTAGAGAACTCACCAGGAGCCTGAGGAAAGTCCCTGGTCCAGCGTACCAAAACTACAATGCAGGCAGCTCATAAGCACTGCAAGGCTTCTTGGAATAGAAGGACTTTTCATCACTTTACCCACTCTCATGTCTACTCCAGAATTTTCAGTCTGTTATTACCAATTGCGTTTATTTGTTATCTAAATGTCAATTATGGGAATTTCCAAGAAAGAGGGGAAGGGGAATCAGTAAGGATCACTATAATGAGCTGTGTTTTCTGAAAGGATGTCAGTTCTAAAGTCAAGAAGCTGCTTTAGCAAACAAAAGGCTGATCAATCCCAGATTGCTTTGGCATAGAGGAAAACTGGCCTTCTACAGCAGTGATGTTTTTCAGCATCTATTTCCAAGTCAACAAGAGACAAGCCCCACCACAAAAAATAACAGCTTGATTTTATGTTGCAGAGGCCAGTCATGACTAGTTTTCTGAAGTACTTCTCAAAAACTGTCACAAAAAGGGGCAATTTTGCTAAAGTACCATCTGGGCAACCCACCTAAGCAAATAGGAGGGTGAGTGACTGTAGTACAACTATTATAGACTAGGTCTGTCTGTGGTCTCTGGGACTTAAAAGGCCTTAGACATAGGGCAACTAAAGCTGTTAGGAGTGAAACCACTTACTGCCTGAAACTCCATGTACCACTGAAGTCTACATATATTTGGGTTTATTCCCTAGTCACATTCACAAGTCAGGTGATGCATTTGTTACCCCTTTGAGATTTTCAGCATACTTGCCTGTGTGTAAATGGTAGATAACCTTTTCTCAGGAGTCAGGAGAAAAAAAAGACTTCTCTGGGGCTGTGCTCCATTTCTAATAAAAACTGCACTATAATCAAGCAAATCTCCAAAAGGTACCAGCTCACCTCTCTGGTTCAAATGAACTGGCAGCCTGAATCCCATTTCCTGCCACAGCTCTGTTACTGACAGCAGAGGCTTTTTGAAGTTTACAAATGTGAACATCAAAAGCAGCAAGACAAAAAGAAGGGGAGGGGAGCTTCCCTTCCTTCAGTGTAAGATCAAGTGTGACAAACAGTAACTGGCTCCTAAGAAGGGCAGAAAAAGAGAGAAATGCCTGTCCAGAATTCAGGGAGCGTTACATGCAGTGTTAGGTCTATTTCCTTGCTTGTGATGCTCATTAACCTTCTTCTGTGAGGGAAAATAAAATGTGGGTGACAGCTGGGGTTCAGTGCATTAGAAACACAAAAGGGAGTGCCTGGCGGACTGTAGCACTGACTTACTTAGCTACTGCCCCTAGGATACAACACCTGTACATGCCTGTCCTTGCTCAGTGTACATGCCTGGCAAAAACCCCACCCTTTATTACTAAACTTCCTCCTGCAGAACAATAAGGAGAGGCTATTAAAGAAAAAGAAACACCTTTATTTGCTCAAAACCAGGCTCCAAGTGATTGGAGAAATTACCCTGAGAGCCATTCATCCTACCAGTCTGTCCCCAGGTGTGGTTATGTTAACCCAGCTATATTAAAGTCTAAAATGCAGGGTAAGCAATGCCTAATTGCAGCAGTGAAGGCTGCAAAACAAACCAGACAGTGGCTTTGCTTGGTACTGAGATGTCTGATCTAAGCCTTTCAGAAACTTCCTACCAGGCTGTGTTTCTATTATAATTTATTGTGCTACATGAATTTTCAAAGGTATATATGTTTTTCTTGGAAGTGTAGCCTTTACACTCGCATATGGGAGACACTCTTTAGGACAGGTAACTGAACTAAAACCAGCTTTAAAAGGGGTTTTGTGCAACAGGTCTGTATCTTGGTGAGTCTCATATCTGCATGTTACTGTGCAGCTCTAATCATCCAGCCCTCTTCCACGGGCCACAGCTTTTGGATATGCTTTCTCTAACTGCAGGGGCCAGGGAGTAGTGTGCTCTGCGGTATAGGATGAAATAAGAAGAAAAGGAAGCTAAAAATACTGCTCCCATCAAGAGATGCAACTGTGCTAATTTGGAGCACAGTTAGCCACCTTCTGAGGAGTTCCTTCGACACCTGAGAGAATCAGACTAGACTGGAATTAGTTAAATGTAAATCAGCTAGAGGCACCTGTCTTCAAGTGATAAGGAGACGTTCCTTGCTTCCACATGCAGTTATAAAATACCTCATGTCATGGGAAAGCTGGCCTTCAAAGGAAGGAGATGTGATTATGGTAATTTATGTTCAAATATGGGCAACTAGAAGAAGGCATGTAGCAGAAAGGCTTTCCTCTGGCTTTTGGAAAACCTGCATCCAAATTCTAGGAGAGGCCATGCATGAATTCTCTTCTTTTTGGCTGCAGCTGGCTTTGCAATTTATAACTCAGCATGGCCCTTGGGAGGGCGGCAGCTGGAACTCTGAGCATTTGCCATCACTGTGAAATCAGCAGCTCTGTGTTGTTGCCTTACCTGGCACTGTATTAGCAGGGGTGAAGCCTCTTTTCTCCTGTCCTCTCCCTTTTCCATCTTTTCATCCTGGTCCTTTGCCAGCGGAGATTGAACCCGTGCAGACAGACCCCTGGCCTCGCCCCGCAGCTTGTTCAGGTTGCCTTCCAAGAGGCGCCGCTGGACCACGCTGTGAGGCTGCTGTCTCCATCACAAAGAAAGAGAAATCCTAGCTAAGTATGGAGCTAAAGACAAGATATTTGCTAGCCCAGGTATGCAGGTTGGAAATGCTTAACCCAAATGGTCATCCTGGTGAAAGACATGCTTATCCAAAAAAACTTTCTTTAAATCCCAAGGGTTTTTTTGGTAGCTGCTAATTCGGTGTTAAAGTGTTGCAATGTCTGCAACAGGCAGGTCTCTGGGATGCAATTATTGGAGGAGAGGAATATACCTGATGAATGCTCTCCCCACACATATCTGTTCCTTCAGCTAAACATGCACTGGAGAGTCTAATTTCTAATTAGAAATTTTGAATTAGCGCACTGCACAATTCTAATTTCAAATTAGTGCACTGCCTGCTGGGTGTGTGCTGACATCCCACCAGGCACATTCACACCTTCCAATGTGGGAGGGCACGAGGAACACAGCATGTGTGTGGTGCACATGTGGGCAAGAAAGCAGGACTGCAGATATTTTAGGTGTACCAGCTATTATTTGTAGTGAAGAAGGAAGCTCCCCTAGGAGGAAACTAAAACGAGCTTCTAATGTTCCTTGGAGTCTGTCTCTGCTCCCCACCATCAGATGCTCTGGATTTTGCCCAGTATTGATCCATCCAGTCCCTGCACAGCTACTGAATCAACAATGGGCAACACCAATGGAACAGGTGGCTGTTACAGGTAGCTTTGTCCTTTACCCATGTACTCAGCTCCATGGCCCTTCTGCAGGAGTGCAGCTGCTCTGGGCTGGCCATGGCATTCCCAGTAACAACAGCCTGTTAGGAGAAAGGCAAATAATCTAAAGGGGTTAATGTGCTACATCTTAAATGGATGTTGTTATCTCTCTAAAGAAAAAGAAAAAATTGAGTAATCTCCCAGGTGGTACAGCAGTTTGATGCAGGATCTTGTCAATGGGCAGGCCAAAGACCTGAACTAGACCAGAGCTGCCAATGAGCTGGGCTGCATTAACCCCACAGGTTCCTTGTGTTTCAGCCTAGCCCCAGAGAGCAGAGGCCAGAGAGTTGTGCAAGCTGCAATTTGAAGCACCCTGATTTGTCAGATTTGCCCCATGGTTGGTGCAGGAGGGCTGCCACTGGCTCTTTGGTCACAGTCAGCATTCCTCTTTGCAAGATGCCAAGTCCCTCTTACCTCTGCCTCCCTGCCACCCAAGGGGTGACAGTCAGATCTTTCACTTGCTGCATCAGAAACACTGCAGCAGTTGAAAAAATGGGGCAAAAATATCCCTCTGTTCCTGGTCTTTTCCCATCCTGCTGTGCTGGCCCACAGCACAGCTGGCCCTTGTGCTTAGCTCCCTAAATACTCTGAGCACAGTGCCAGTTTGGCTGCCAGCTAACATCTGGGCCATGGGAAAAGGGCAGGGAACAAACAGCAGGCCCCCAAATTCCCATCCTCCCTCCTGCCTCTCACAATCTGCCATGCAAAGACCTTTCCCCCTTCCTGCAACCTTTCCCACAGAATGAGCAAGCTCTTTGCAGCTGCCACCTCTGTCCCCTTCTTGTCACTCAGGCTGGGAAGGGGCCAAGTGCTGATGGGGATTAGCTGAGCTTTGGGATTTTGGAGGCAGCTGGTTCAAGAGCAGACTCCCAGGGCCCTGCCTATCTTCTCTCTCATCAGTGACATGGATGGAGAAGTGGAGAGAGCGTTGTAGCTCCTGGACTGGTCAGAAACAATTAGATTTAGACGATGGTAAGGGAGGATGTTGTGAGTGTTGTGGCCAAGAGCTGGAAAGGATGCCCTCAGGCACTTAGAGGGACTAGAGAAGATTCCCAGTGCAACTTAGGGAAGGTTCAGGTTCTCCAATGTGAAACCTCCAGGCCTTGCTATGATTAGTGACATTGTATGAGCTGGGGATCTTGATTTTTGGGAGGCCAGATCTTCAGGCCTTCTTGGTACTTCCAGAATATTTTAGCTCATGTAGCTACTTTTTTTTTTCCCCATTAAAAAAAACCCCAAAACTGATCATGCTTTTTGTTGCAAAGGTGGAAACATGAGATTTCCACTGCAATATGTAAATACTCCTTATTGGAGACATGATGGGCCCATCAAAATACAGGCACTTCTGGATGCATTGCATAAGCTGAGTGCACATCCAGAATACACAGAAAAGAGTGGCAAAAAGTAAGAGCTTGTGACTGCAAAAGAAAGTAGGTATTTTATTTTAAATTACATGAGGCCTTGCTCTAGTTTTAGGACATGGAGCTGCCACAGCTGGAGTCTCTGGCACTGTCAATGGAGACCTGTTTTGGGGAATTAATTAAACTTTCCTCCCAGTGTCAGTGCTGTAGGAGTCAGGAGTGTTTTACTGTCTCTATCCAAATCAAACTCTCCAGCACATCCTACTGCTGCTTCATTTTCAGTACATTCCTTTTTTTGTATTCCTGTCGTCCAGGAGGGAGCCAGATCAATTTAGGAAAAAGAGATGGGGTTTTCATAGTGCTGAAGAAATGTCTATAAAAATAAGCCAAAAGCATATTTGGGACTCTGATTTGCAGTGCCCAAAACATCACAGCAATATCACAGTGTCCCACTGAGTTGCAGGAACCTTTGAATCCCACTTGGAATTTTAAGACCTGGTTCTTCTTTTGCTCCAAGCTAAAGCAGAAATGGAGGTACCACATTGACCCCAGGTAATGGCACTGTGTGTGTGAACTTGGCACAGTGGCCACACTTTGTTTTGTGCCCTCTAGCATCGGAGCAAAATGTCCATGTGGGAAAAACCCACGTCATGCTTTATTCACTGCTCCTTAGGTCCATGGTAAAAATGTTTCAGCTGTTCTGTTATGGACCAAACATGAAGTTGCAGTGGGTTGCAGTGGCTGAACATTGTCAGCATACAGCGAGTTCTCCTGCCTGGAATGGTTATTTCCAGCAGGAGAGCTGCTTGTGGCAAGTGATTTAGACAAGAACTGTCTCGCTCAAGGAACCCCTTAGGGCTTCAGGGTGCCAGTTGTCACTTTGAGGCATGGTGTGACAGAAGTCAATCCCAAAGCAAAGCTGGCAGATGTGTTTCTGCCTGCCTTTTGTGGCTGGGGTCAGCAAACGCGCACCAGAAGTCTCACAAGTGGCTCATCCCCACTCCCTGCCCGGTGTGGGGACAGGCCAGGGTCAGGCCCGGCTGTGCTCCAGAGGGGATGTTGGAGCTGCAGGGCCCCAAGGGCCAGCACTGGCTCTCCAGGCTCCAGCGTGGCCAGAGCTCCTTCCCCATGGGGAGGAGAGTCCCTGCTCCTCGCCAGGACAGCACAGATATGACACAGCTCTCACCCTCCAGCCGTGACCGCGCTCAGGGCTGGAGGGACGCTCCACACCGTCCCTGCTGACAGCCATGAGCGCAGCTGCAGAACGGGAGCGATGGCTCAGGGGGACTTGGAGGAGCCAGCCAGTCCCTGCCATGCCAGGGCCTCCCAGCAGCTGCAGGGAGGCTGGTGGGAGCGGCAGGATGTGCCAGCACGGAACGTGGCACTGACCCCTTGTCTGCAAGCCGCTGCACCCCGAGGTTTCTGCAAGGAGGATCAGCTCCCGCTAGTGCCAGGTCCCACACGTGTGTGGCCCTGTGCCACTGCGTGCCTCGGGAGCTGGGAAATGACTGGAGGCACACACACCAGAGCATCTGTGGTGCTGCTGCCATTGTCTGAGGATGCAGAGGGGAGCACAGACTGCAGGCAGGGACAAGATCTTTTATGACACCCACTGCCACAGATGGAACAAGTGATTGTGCCCCCATCACAACCAGACGTGAGCCCTCTTTTGGGAAAATGGTTTAGACCTCCATATCCTTGAGCAGTTTAACTCTACAGTGGAGAGAAGTTGGACAGCAAAACTGCCTGAACAAGGAGAGTGTGTGTGCAGTTGAGCCAGTAATAGATCCTGTGGGAATCTGCTTCCAGCCTCGGGGAAACCCTTCCAGAGCACAGACTGCCAAGGCTGCTGGAACAGACCTCCCTCCCCGATGCTCCCTGATCCACATCACCACAAGGAGATGCCCACAGGCCTCGCTCCGGTGCCTCCTCGCCAAAGGAGTCATCCAGAGTGCCAGGTGCTGCATCTGCCTGCCTGGTTTGCAGTCCTGCTCTTTGCTTGCCCCTCCATAAATCCAGAGAGTGAAGGAAAAGAGAAAAATGTGAAAAGGTGACAAGGTCAAACATAAGTCTCCCAGAATTTCATTAATTGTACTTCCCTCCCTTCTGAGTCCAGGAAGCATTCTGCTTTTGAGCTGGATCATGCAGGGATACATGGGGGCTTTCAGAGATGTCCCACATGGAAATATACGTGTCACATGAACATACATAGGTATTGGGTGAATGGAAATTTGGATTCTGGAGAGTCCTTCCAGTCCGTGTCTGCCTGAGGAGTTTGGTTCCTATACGGAGGCACAAAAAGATGGATGCAAACAAATGAGTGATTAATTCTTTTCCCTCACCCTGACCTGCTTCTAGATGATCCTGAAGGGAAGTTTCATTTTTGCTGAACCTATCATCCTTGCACAAAACCTGACAGCAGCTCCCAGCTGGAATGAAGGCTGTCAGGAGAATCCCCTCCCAAACGGGATCCCACTGGACTCACCAGATCCTTGGAGGTGCCAAGCCTTGTCAAGCCATCCAGGGGCAGCAGATCAGCAGAGTCCTTGTGCACGAACTGGGTGGCCTGTTTGAGGCGCCTCTTCTGTTGCAGAATAGCTTTGTTCCTCAGCTCCATCTCACACTCCTGTCGCTCCAGGTCGGGAGCACCCTCGCTTTGATTCTCCTCCTGATCTCCTTGCCCCAGTGCCGGGGGGCAACTCTTCCTTGTGCTCATGGTGAAGATTCAGACAGAACAGGTCCTTCTTGGTGTGCTGGGGTGTTCCCTGAACTCGTCTCCTGGTGTTTGCCCTCTGGAGGCTGACTCAGTCTCTGATCTCCTTTCCCTTTCTCTTCCTCACGGCTCTCCTTCTCTTCCTTTCTCTGCCTTTCCTCCTGCTCCCTCAGTTATAACTCACCCATCTCTGAAGTGTCTCGGTTCCTGTTTCTCCCTCTGTCCTCTCCACTCCTCCGTGTCCCTGTGCTCCCGCCTCTTCCCCTCCCTCACTTCTGCCCTGACTGCAGCTTTGCCTCCTCCAGTCCGTGGGTCCGTGTCGTAATAGAAAAAGCCCCGCGTCAGAAACCGCTTTCCATAAATCACGGCAGAGCCGGCAGGATGCTCCGGCTGGAAAAATCCAGCAGCAGAAGGATGGCCCCGCTGGATGCTGGGGGCTGGACTTACCTCGGCGGGCTGCGCGCACGCACCGCGCGTCTCCGTGTCCGTGTGTGTGTCCGTGTCCGTGTCCGTGTGTCCGTGTCCGTGTCCGTGTGTGTGTCCGTGTCCGTGTGTCCGTGTGTGTGTCCGTGTCCGTGTGCGTGCCCTCCTGTCCCCGGCTCCCGGGGACACGCTACAGCAGCCGGCGGCAGGCTGCGCGCTCCGCTGCCTCTGCCCGGAGGATTTGATGCTTCCCCGTGTCTCTGTAAATCCTGGCAGCAACTCGGGTCAGCCTGGAAGATGATGCAGTGCCTTGGTAAATGGGAGAGTATCCTCCTCAAGGCTGCTGGCAGGCATGCCCAGTGTCATTTCTGCAGAGAGTGCCGTGCCTTTGCAATAGGCTGCGCTGAAGGGTTGTTCTGTGTAGCTTGAATGAATTGCTGAAGGTCTGCTTTCTGCTTCCAGCCAAGGCAGGCTCTGTGTTGTGCCCGACTCTGCCCTCATTTCCACTCCACTCTACCAAAGGCAGTTCCCTCTGATGTTGCAGGAGCCTAAAATCACTGGCTTGTTGATACCAGCAGACTTGGCTCCCTGTTTATACCAAAAGAGTGCTGACACTGCTGCAGTGTGGGATGTCTGGACCAGAGCAGACATCCCTTCTCTCAGGGCAGACAGGACATGGCAGAGCTCTGTTTTTCAACTTTCTGTCTCCATATTGTCCTGCTTGAACTGATGCTGTCTCCTTTTGATCCCTTTTCTCTGGTTAATGCCCTGCCCTGCTAAGCACCAGCTCTGATATCAGGTGCAGGGGAGGAACCAAAACTTTACTCAGCTGTGAAGCTAAGGACAGCATTACATTTCCAGGAAAGCCAGCAAGGGGTGAAACAGCTTTCATGTGCATCACAGAAGGAATAGCAGCAACTGACTACAAAACTTACAGCAAAAGGACACTTTCTGTTGCTCCTTTTGTTTGTTTTCTATCTTAGTAGTAAGATTCCAGTATTACTGATACCAATTATTTCTGTGTTCTAGACTGTGTATAAAAAAGTGAGTATTAAATATTAAGAAGCAAATCCAATACAAGGTATTATGGTTTCCACCAAATCACAGCACTAGATTTTTCAGGAGTAGGAGTGGAAATACATTCTAACTGCTTTGTAATCCAAGGCCAAATTTCAATACCATAATGCAGGCAGAGTCTCAAAAACAGCTCAGAGGTGTTTTGAACTGTCCTTATCTCTCTGTGAGTCAAATTAAGAAGAGAATTTAAGTAATGAATATTTCCAGGGAACCTATGTTCCCACAGTCTTGTTTTTTTGCCTGTGGGTTGCTCTGATTCCTGATTTACACACACTTTTACCTCCTGTGGCCCCACTGAGTATCCTCTGAGTCTTGCCATCAGGCCCTTTAACCATCCATGTAAACCAGTACAGAATCATGCATCTCTACTCTCACACAGGGCCAAGAGGTTCTTCCCCTCCTGCTGACTGTGAATCCCTCAGCCACAACAAGGCAGATGATGGTAACAAGGCCCCTTGTTACCAAAGGCCAATTTTCTTAAAGCCTCAGAATGGACCCTAAGACTGTAAAGTGCTGCATCTCAGGAGCAGATCACCTACAGTCCCTGCCTTGAAGTCTATGGGCAGAGTTACACAATTTCTGATGAGATCACCTCCCACCCTGGATGTGTATGTGGGAATGAAGAGGAGGGAGCTCTCCTAGTTCCCAGTCCCAGCACCTCTTTGCAGCTAACCACCTTTTATTAGTTTATTTTGCACAGCATTTTGGCAAAGCCTGATCAGAATTGGTTTGCCTTGCAGCTGGACTGGAGCCATTGCTTGAGCAGTTCTGCTTTTGGGTCTCACCAGTTAGTCCTGGTCCCTAACTCATCAAGTATTTCTCTCTTTGTGCCTAAAAGGGGAGGAATCTTCAAGTCTTGTTTGAAGCTTTCTCTCTTTCTTCATCACTTCTGCTTCTAGTGAAGCTAGAAGCACATTTAGGTCACTTAACTCTTTATATGCTGTGATGTGTTAGTTCCTAGATCTAGCAAAAAATCCCAGCATTTTTATGGGGGTGAAATCTGCTAAGGTACTACATTCTCCCATCAAAGACATGATAGGTTCTAGGTCACTGTTTATTTTCTACTCAGCTATTACTTTTTCCATCCTGTTCTTCCTAAACAGAACTCATTTACTAAGTAGGTTAGGTGATTTCTGGCTTTGTGGTTTTTTAATTTTTTTTTTCAGAATGGACACTTCTATAGGTTTTCTAATGAGAAATCAGACGACTGTGCAGTAAATTTAAGGGGAATTTGCAGCAGTTATACCTTTCCCAAGTCATCTTTTGCAGGCCCTGAAAAATAATGTATGAATCACCAGTAGCCTGTATTAGAAAAATAAAACTGATTTTGATGCAAATATTCATACATAATCCCATACACAACAATAAACTATTTTCTGATGCAGTCACATCAAATAATCATAACCCATTATAGCTCGATATTCTGCACCCTTCATACAGAAATCTTTACAGGGTGTGTAAGAGTGCTATTTGGACAATAGAAGAAACACTCTGCCTCCACAGAATATAAGAGCCCTTCTCCCTGCTCCAGCTGCCAGCTTGGCCTTCCAGCTCAAGCAGTTACAGGTCAGTGGGAGCTCTGAGGCAAAAGGTTCCAGGTTCTAAGCACTTTAGCTGTGTTCATGGGTGTTGGTCCCTGGACCTGATCACCTCCGTGCCTGAGAAGCCCTGAGGAAATCAGAAGTAGTGCCCATACTGCTAAGGAAAGGCCCTGAAGAGCAGCATTTCCCAGAAGCCAGTTTGCCCAGCCAAGAAGCAAGAGAAGATCAATATACTCCAGTCAGCTACTCATCTGTTGGAAGAAATTCATTAATAGCACCTGGAGTAGTAAAGGGGAAAAATGGACTCTGTTGAAGAAAGCAAGTGGCAGATTAAAGAATGTGAGACAAAGGTTTTACTTTCCTCTGTCAGGAGCAGTAGAGAGTATCCCAGCTGTTTGAGAAGCTGCTCTGTTGAGGGCTTTCACTGGTTTGGCTTTAAATTTCACTGACTGAGGTCCTTCTGCCCCAGATTTTCCCTATATCTCACTTTACCTAGCCTAATAATTCCTCTTATAAATATTCTCCTGCTGCTTTCGCAACTTCTAATGGTTGCTTCTCTTTCTTAGAGATTTCTTTTCAGCTTTGAATTTATCTCTTTCAACAGTTTGGAAACTATTATTTTGTCCCCCTGAGATTCCACACAGTGCAGGTGGGAGGGTGGATTGTAGATGGAGAACTTCATATTTCTGTTGTGACAATCTGGGTGCTTACAGAGCTCAGCAATAGCTCCCACATAACGTAACCAGCACAGAGGTGGTTTTTACACTACACCAGTTTCCAGTGCACCACCTCAGTAGTAGTGTAAGCTTCAAGTGGGTGTAAAAGTGACCCTGGGTATAGCAACTATGTCAGAGCCAGGAGATTCCTTGTGGTGGATACTGCAGGGTAACAATGAGGCAACTTTCTGCTCATTCTCCTGCATTCTCACAGCCTGTGCAGTCTGTGCATGCACAGATGGTGCAGAGGAGGAATGAGAGGACAAACCTTACTCAGGCAAACCATGCATGCTTCTCTCTCCCTTCCATCTCTGAAAAAGATTCTTTGAAGAAGAAAAGGCTCCTCTGCTTTGAATTCCATTCAGTTTGTCTATTTGTATAATAAAATACCTTTGTATTCTTGAAATAATAAGGAAAAGGTTGCAGTATTTATATCTGTGAGTATGTCTGGCAAGTTTCCTTGAGGTAAATGTCATCTCAGATGTACATAATGTTTAGCTCAGCTGCTGGACAGTAAAGTGTGTCCTGCCAGCAAGGTCAGTCAGAAAGTAGAATAGTTTGCTTAGTTAGGTAATTTAGGGTCAAGTCTCTGTAGTTGTCTGCCCTATGGGATAGATTTATGGTTGCACCATGGCAAACTTGGAATAATGTTGTCTAATATGAAATTCTTCTGCTGTATAAATATTTATTGATCATTATAAATACAGTGATGAATATAATATCATTATAAATATAATGATTTGTGTCCTCTCTGTATTGATTTTCTTCTTTGGGCTAAACTGTGTTTAAAAAGGGCCTTTTCTGTTTGGTTGGAATTATCATTGCCACAGAACTGACAGCTGATTGTGCAGCAGGCAATACAAAATTTCCACTTCCATTACACAGATCATACTGGAAGACTTTGCCTTTGCTTTCAGGAGGGGAAAGAATCTCCACTGATGTGCATCTCCACTGATGCACATAGCAATGGCAACTGTCTTACCCATGCTAGAGCTTCTCTGTGGTCAGCATGAGGTTTAAAGTAGAGAATAATTCCTGGTAGGAATTTGCTTACCCATAAAAGAGTGCAAGAGCCTGAGATGAAGGGTAGTTACTCATTTAAGGTCGATAGCACAGTGTTTGGAAATGTGCTGTCTCAAAGGTGTCTCTCCTCTATGTGTCTCTCTGTAGTTGTTTCATTTTTCTGACCCTCCACTTCCCACCCGTATGGACAACAATATTTCCATTATCCACTTAGCTTGAGGCTAAGAATGCACTTAGCAGGCAATTTTTTCCAAGTCTCTGCATAATGCCATAAAAATAATGATGAAAACTTTACACCATTAAGGCTCCTTCCAGAGGATGTCCCTAGAGCTGAATACTTGAGCAGTAAAAGCCAGCACAGTTAGAGTTGCCTGGTAAAGCTTAATTTGGTATGCATATGTGTGGGCTTATTACTAAAACCACCTACAGAGTCTTGGCAAGGTGCTTTGAGTGGCTGTTTATGGGCTTCTATAATAACTTTTTTTTTTCCATGTGAAACAGCAAGAAGAATGAAAAAAAGACAATGACCTGTTCACTTTTTGCCTGTGCTCAGCTATCCATAAAATCACAGCAGATCTCACCTTGCTAAAAATGAAGCCCAGATATAGTCCTTGGAAGGTAAGAATCTCTCTGAGGGCTGGTTTTGCCCCCAGTGTCATTTCATTTGGGGACAGGTTTTACTTTCAGAGTCCCCCATCAGATACTGTGGAAACCTTCCCTGTCAGCAGTTGCCAGGTGTACTGTGATGTTTGCTGTTTTATTTGTTTGCAAACGGCTTCTTTTGCACCTTAAAGCAGTTGAGATCAATCAAGTTCTTCATCAGCAGCATAACTTGCTGAAATTAACTTCAGCAGTGGGGGAGTCAGCCATTCCAAAGGGTGTTGCAGCCCACCTCCCGTTCTCCTGACTTGTATTTAGAAATGCAATAATTCAAGCATCAGTATTCACAGAGTGTATCTTTAAAGTCATGGTCCCGTTGTGGATGGCTTTTCAGGGACAATACCTCAGTCCTGCTCAGTGAATTTGCACCTTTTCCACAGTGTGTTCTCTCCTTGCTGCTACATGCAAGGCACTGGGCCCAGCCCTTGTAAAAGAGTCATACCCAAGACCAGAAATAAGTATTTCACATCTCTGATGCTTTTCTGTGGTAGCTGAACATTTTGCCCCAGTCTTAAACCTGAGGACTGTTGGATCAGTGGTGCTTATCCAACCTTTGACTCTTTATGCTCTCAAGCAACCTCTAGTTGTGCCAGTGCGGGTTTGAAACGAATATTAGGGAAAATTTCTTCATTCAAAGGTTTATTAAGCATTGGAAGAAGGCTTCCTGGGGAAGTGGCTGAGTCACCATCCCTGGAGGTATTTGAAATGTGTAGATTGTGACACTTAGGGACATGGTTTAGTTGTGGACTTGATGGTCTTAAGGGTATTTTCCAACCTAGATGATTCCATGATTCTTTGTCTTCTGAACCCTGTCTCCATTTGACTCTTTGAGACATTTTCATCTGACCAAGATCTTTTTTTGTGTGACCCACTCCCTGTGGCCAGCAGAAGTCCCTTGGACACAAGAGAGCTCATGTTGCCATGCTCAGCTGCTGGAAGTCACAAAGAACAAGTTCAGGAAGAAATCTCCGTACACTCCAGCAAGTCTGTGCTGAGGCACACTCTGTACTGAATAAATCTCTTCTCAGATTTTAGTTGCCAGCTGACTCTGCTAAGGATGTGAAATAGATTTTTAAAAAGAATCTTTGTAACAGCCAAAAACTGGAAAATTTTCACTCAGCTCATAAAAAGGGAAATGTCAAAGCCAAGGAGGACAACCTGACAAAAATCCTTACAAAGCGAGGAGGTGCTAGGTCTTTTCAAGAAAAGGTTTGCTACAAAAGTGTTTTTTTAATCTGAGCAAAATATTCTTGTGCTCTTATTTATAGAAGCAATTGGGCTGCTTTAACTGCATTCCCTGTGTTCTCTGCCCCTTCTCTCCCCACTAGAATAACTCTACCTGAGGCTGATATTCATTTTTGCTATTTTCTGCTCAGACAATTCAGGATTTTATGATGGAATTACCAGCACAGTAGTACTTGTAGTGCAGAAGCAGCTTTGTGTACACAATGCACATACAGTGGCAGAGGGATGTGTTATCACCCCAGGGATTTGATGGATAACAATGCTACTGTAACAATGTAATTTTATTTTTGATTTTAAGTACTGGACTCCTTTGGTTTCCTAGCCTTTGGGCTGCATTTGTTACGTGCACCAGCTGTTGGTTACATTCTTAATGGCTAGGCCTTGGCATGATTTAAATGGCAGCTGAGATTATCTCATGGTCTCCTGACTTCAAGATTTTAATAAAACAGCAAATAAATAAGACCTGAGAGTCAGCCATGGGAAAGAGCAAAAGAGCCCTTATCACTGCAGCATGCCAGTCCCTTGGGTATGCATAGCAGAGTGCAGGCCGTCAGGAACTAATTAGCTACAGCATGGAGCTCCTCAGAAATGTGGAATCAGACCATTCTGTGTCGTTACTTGGAAAACAATACTGATGCTGAAGGCATCTCCAGTGATCCTGCAAGTTCCAAAGGATGTGCTTTATGGTGTCAGTTTTGCTGCATTCCTGACCTTTCTTCCCCTCATGGAGGAGTTGGATTGGATACTAAATACATCAAATTGTCCAAAACTTTAAGGCTACCATGAGAGCAGGCAAAACTGCTTCAAACAGAAGCTTTCCTAAAGTGAAGCTTGAAGTGGAAAATACATGTTGATAACTCAGGATGGATTAGACTAGCAGACTAATATAAATTCTCCTAAATCAAGTGTTTTGGGGCTTTGCAATATACATGCATTATCCACAATAGAAATTCCAGCTTAAACACAATTCCAGAATGCAAAATAGCTTTGGGCATAGATAAACATGCAGTCTCAGAATTCAGAGTGAGAACCCCTAAAACATGTAAGCAATCTAAACATGTTACTTCATGAGAAAGTATAAAGTTGAGATGGAATGGTCTGGCTTGTTGCATAATGATATTATCCAAAACTTTGTCTTTATTAAAATTTACAGAAAAATGCATCAAATATGAAAGAACACAATGCACAAGAAAAGATACCCTACTGCTAGTGATAAACAGTGTTCTATTGAAAATATCAACAGTATTAAGAGATTCTTCCCAAGTCCAGTGAAGATGCGGTTTTTTTGTCCTGTTGGAAAATTTTTTCACCCATTAACAGTCAGGGTTCTAATGAGCCAATCTCATATTTGTAACCACAGATGAGTACAGTAAACCTACCTTCTACAAATTGCACAGCTAAATAAACAGAGGCCCTGTTGGCAGCAACCTCCTTTATGTGCATGAGAAGGTAATAGAGACCCACAGCAGGCACCGGAGCATAAATCCATGTCTGACTGCAGTTCAATAATAATTTGTGCTGGCTGTTTTCCTTGACTTTATTAAATAACATCATTAGATGTTTCTGGTTTTAAATTTGGTACATCAGAAAAGAAAAGATGTGGAGGATAAATAATTCTGATTATATATTTGTATGCAAACAGTTCATCAGTGTGCTCTATATAATGACTTCCCAGAGATTTTGAGATGTGGAAGAGAATCTGCTTTGCATAATCTTTTGCCTGTAAACTGTAACTGGGTATTTATTATGCTTATTTTTCCAAGGAGTGTTGTAACTGAAACACAAGGACAAATGTGTCATTTGACCTGCATCAGCAGCTCAGATTCATGGTCTTGACGTTCTGCAACTCTGCTTGTTTCAAAGCAAGAAGCCAGTCTGAGATGAGTAGTGAAGCGGGACATTTCTTCTTAATCTCAGGCAGCTAATACTTTGTTATGCCCTGAATATCTTTTTATCCAGTTGTAGCTCTCACCTCTTCTGGAAAAAGGGGAGTGGGGATAGAAACTATTTCTGTTCAGGAATCAGCTCACATTTTTCAAGCCTGTAGTTTTTCTCTCTGAGTCTATTGTGCATCTTAAAGAGGAAGTCAGGTGCTCTGCTAAAAAAAATAATTTCACTTTTGTTAAGAGCTAGACTGCCTTCTGGGAGAAATGAAGGCCTGGCACCCTCATAAAAAGATTTCTGCAATGTAAAATAGGGTCTCTTTTCTTCCATATGGGGAAGTGATCAAGTTTCTCTGCTACCAGCCAAGCTGCAAAAGTAATAGGGTGGCAATCGTCCTTGCTTACCTCATCTCAGGGGGCATCCAGTCCTTTGAAGCTGACAAAACATAATGGAAGGAACCCCACTCAACCAATGAAAGGGAATTACCTTCTCCTTTGGGTCTGTCATACTCCAGGTATCAGAGTTCTCAGAGGAGCAGAGCATCCACAGCACTTGCTGGCTCCCTGTAGATTTGTGTGTCCCAGATCCTTTAAAATTTTTATCCTAAATTAATGTTTGCTTTTACAGGCTAGAAGGTGTTAAACAGCTTTGTCTCTTATCAGAATGCAAGGACAATCCTGGGATGCTCCTACAGGTTACCCAGAGGAGGCCTGGGAGTGCTGTGCAAAGGGTGTGAAGAGCTGTGCCTTCCTGCTCTTGGGCTGATGAGAAGACAAGAAGCATGGCTGTGCTCTTACTGCAGGAGGGGGGACAGAGGCATCCATTGTCTGACA